CGCTGAAAGCTATTTTTTAAATCCTTTATATTAAGTTCGCTTGCTTGCGACCGTGCAAATCTTTCGGTCCTTTTTTAACCCACTTCCCGTGATCCAATCGAGCTGACAGTTTGCACACAGACTCGTTGTGCGTGACAATTTTTTCGTGAATTTTTTTTCCCAAAATTTTACACTTTTTAGGAAAAAAAAATTATATTTAATTACCAATTGCTTAATGGTGGCAGGCAATCATCTGACCCATAGGTGGCAGCCATCTCAAGCCAGAGGACGAGAGGACTCTAGCCGCCAGGCATATAGAGGATTTATAGTGAAAAACTTTGTTTTTACGGGTTATACTTGTTTTTGGTGGAGCCAAGGAGCAATTTGTGATCCTAACAGAAACCCCGCGACCACCTCCCATCCTCGCAGCACCGCACACGGATCTCCGGGCGAAGGCTGCGGTAAGCCTCCTCATTCTCCTGACCTGGGATGCTGTAGAGGGTGGGAGGTCTGGACCGTGTACCCAAAGCAGCCATTGCAGCTGCATGAGCCACAGTCCTAAAACTCGCCCATTTACCCTCGACATCAGGAGTGGGGGACGATGCCAACCCCAGCTGCAAGCGATGATGAAATTCTCAGCTTGCAACTTTCATCAGCTATCCGAGGCCAGGCCACACAGTGGGTTTGAATGGGGTCCTGGGTGTACACCCACTACCGGAGTGGAAGAATGGCAGGCGCATCTTACAGATGACTAGTCGATGGTCAGAGGGCAGATCAGCTCCACGGTAGGTCCTGGTGTCAAGGATATGGGCTCGCATCCGCTGGTCCGTCACTATGTAGTCCAGCAGATGTTCTTGCTTGGATCCGGCATGCATCCATGATGTTGTGTGGATGCGCCGATGCCGGAACGTGTTGGTAATTACAAGCCCATGGGCTGCACAGGAATCTAGCAGCCTCCTGCCGTTGTTATTGAGCTGATCTGGCCCATGCCTTCCAATCACTCCAGACCAGGTGCCAGCATCATGACCAACTCGGGCATTGAAGTCACCCAACAAGATGACTCTGTCCCAAGGGGGACACTTTGGCCAGCACCTGTGACAGGAGGTTATTGAAGGCATCTAACTCCTCAGCCTTGTCTGCATCCCTCCACGGATGTTCGTCTTCGGTGGGGGCATAAGTAACCACGACCACCACTCCTCGCCTCCGGTTGATGGGAAGGCGAGCCCACAGTAGCCTGGGGCTTACAGCTTCCCGCACCTCACCCCCACGCTCCCATAGCGCCTTCATTATTTCGTTAAGTGCCACTCCCTGTTGTTTGGTAGTTTCCCGCCGAGTGGAAAACTGCCCATGTCCTCGTGTATTCACAGAGGTTCAGGCGGCAACGGTCCAGCTCCTGACAGAGGAGTGGCAGCCTCTCCTCCGCAGTGAGCGTTCGAACATTCCACGTGGCCAATCTCAGCGTGTCCTCTGCACCGCACCCACACAAACACCCACACTCAGCCTCTGCAACACACACACCCAGCCTCTGCAACACACACACCCAGCCTCTGCAACACACACACACACACACCCACCCACCCACACAAACACCCACACTCAGCCTCTGCAACACACACACACACCCACCCACACACCACACCACACCACACCCACCCACCCACACACACACACACACCCACCCACCCACCCACACACCCACCCACCCACCCACACACAC